CACGTAGGGCCATGAATCTCAGATTTAACATTGTTAAACGATGCCTTTAAGCCAAATACGGTAGTACCAAGATATTGTGCAAAAACGTGGGGCTGGAGGGAGTTGCCTTTGACTCACCTTCTGATATGCGATGTAAAAAGGAACATATAAACAAATGTAATCAAACAAATAGCTACAAGATTTGCTGAAGTAAAAGTGCGGTTAACTCTATATTGAAAGATGTGTGTGTGAGAGAAGAGAGAGAGAGAGAGAGAGAGAGAGAGAGAGAGAGACTTAAAGGAAACGTCAAAAATTGAGTACTGATCAAGATTAATGTGTCAGATCAGGTTGGCTGAAGTAAGTAGAAGATAAGTGTTCGTGATGAATAATGCATTATTTCCTTTTAACCGCTATAAATAAGGGCTGACAAGCAAACCTGGACCAATAGGTTCAGTTACTAGATACTTAAGCGAAACAAAACGATAATAATTTACGGTTGCTTTTCTGAAGGCCAGTTACTGTTGTTGTTGTTGTTGTTGTTATCATTCAGTTTAAGATTTGCAATCTCTCCAAGATTATTTAAGCCACTCTTCAGAGGCTGTTGGTTATTACTGAGTATGAAGGGGGAGAAAGTCGAACTTAAAGGTACTATGTCCCTTTTGCAGCCAACCTCAAATTCTGTAGAACGTTGCAGGAATTATGAATATGTCATGTATGTCCTATCTGTGAAATTTAAATGTTAGCAGTGTCCTAATATTCAAATTATGCAAGGAAACCCGTTTACTTGCTAGACTTCATGAGTGACTGACTTGCTTTTTTCTTCTTTGGTAATAACATACATAAAATGAGCTGTAAAGGGTACATGAGCAATAATGTCTACATCAATAACCCATTTCTTATGATGGCAAAATTAAACTGATTGAATCTTTGCGCAGCATAAAACATATGACCATTCAGTACAATGGTCTGAAAATCAAGACTATTACTTATTGGCTCTATAGCTCCTAAGTCGATTTGACAACTAATAGTCGTTATTTTCCCACTTGAAGACATTTTCAAGCCCCACCTTTTTTTAGGGAAGTTCTAAATTAGTATTATCTTTCAAATGCCGTTGGAATTTAACCTTTTCATTTTTTGGGCTGCAAATGGGACATAGTACCTTTAAGAGGATGATGGTTTCTCTCGTTTTCACTCCATAATCAGGACCTTGGCTTGTCATAAGTTTGGTGATGTGGAATAAGAACCTCTTTGCATGGGTTCGGCTCTTTCGGTTCACCTCAGTCATAACAGTTCACTAGTTGTTTTCTTGTGTACGTGTGTACAAAAGAATAAATGAGTGAATAGCGCACATGATCTTTATTTTCCTTTTAAGATGACCTTTCTGACTGAATAACATAAATATGGGTGAACAGTACTTTTTTTTATCATTTCGTTATTCTTTCCAGCTGAGCATGATCCTTCGCTGGTAGGATAATTCTCATTGCAATTCAATTTGCCATTTTCAGTAATGTAACAAAAATAACTGATGCATTATAGTGTGCCTTCGTGAAGCGCCTCGATTATTTCATTCACCTGTTACGAATAAACGTATCTCAAAAGTCAGAACTCAAATTGCATGCAGTAGTTGTTGCTAGGTAGGACAAACATCATGGCTTGCTCTTCCTAACAATACGTAATAGCTAGGCCTATTATGCAATTTGCATTCTGATTTGTAATATATAGTTATTCGTAACAGGTGAGTGAAATAATTCGTATCGATGCACTTAAGTAGGCCTATATACATTTTGTAGCATTACGAAAAAGACTTATTCAAAATGGCATCTGTACACTTTAAAAAAAAAAAATTAGGATTTGCGCATGAGCAGATAAAGGTCATTCGTACCCAAATTGTAAAACCATTGAGAGATTTTGAGACGAATACTCGGATCGTGCTCATGAAAGTTATGTAATCAGTATTCATTTATGCACCAACAGTACATTTATCTGATACACAGGTGAAAGTATTCTTCTTAAGAGGCAAACAAAAGGTATTCACGAAGCACCTCCATCACTTTGGCAGTGATTATTCTAAAATGCACAGGTGGGAAGTATCCATCGTGTCTAAGATCTGTGGATATTTTGGGGTCAAGCGGTCCCGAGAGGTACGAACTCGCTCATTGTGCATATTTAACAGTCCAAATGATAATAAATAACAATTAACATAAGAAAGACATATAAAAGAGTAATTTACATGAGTTTCGATTTTAAATAATATACCGTATGTAGAAAATGGGGAAAAGGGATAATTACAAATTCAAGTAATCCTCAACATTAATGATAACATACAGGTTTAGTAACATTTTTACAATTTAATGAAGCTTTTTAAATAGACGCTGTTCTTGACAACCTGAACGCTTTCCCGAGACTTGCCCGACATAGCAACACAAAATGTTTGCCGATTGGATTCTGAATATTAGTTCATTAATTAATTTATTAATTATTAATGGAATAACCCGCCACTGCATCCCAGAAAAGAAACATCCATGAATATGAATAAAATATATTAACAAACCGGTCTATTATTGTTTTTTTTTAACGATATACAATGTACTATAACATGTACAGACAGAGTACCATTGTTGTGATGGGTGAAATGATTATTTCTAATATTATACACACGTATACAGCTTATTGTGGTATTGATTACTAGTTTGCTAAATGTGTCCATTCGACCATGAATGCCTATATCTGACAGTTTGGTTAAATGGCAGTTAATGCAACACGGAAAACGAGTTTTCTTTTTTTTTTTAAAGAAACCCCTCGTTAAATGCATATCTGCACTGGGGATAAATGTCATGGTGACAAATTGTTGTTGATGTAAGGGAAAGGGGTCTAAACCACAACATGTCGATGGATTCCGCAAAAAGGAAAAATTAGGGGCCTATGGTGGGTGATGGTACGTAGCACAACAAATATATTGGCGGCGGTCACTCCCCACTTATGGGCTATTTAGAGTAGAGCTAGCAGCTAACCTCCTGAACAACAGAAAGTATTGATATAAAGGAAATAAATAGAGATTAGCAGTGAGGTATACTAGTCTCGTGGATAGGTGATCGCCATTAGGAAGTACGCGGGTTCGAAACTATGACAGGGGGGGGGGGCAGTGGGCAGTGTAGCAACAAACGATCATGACATAGTCTGATTGCGTTTGCGCCCAAATCATAAATATTTTAATTTATATCCATTCTTATCCTATTGGTTTGAATACCGGTCTCATTTTAATTTCTATTACCCAGCATTATTTTGAACTGTCTTGAAGTTGTAGATCTATTTTGGAATTACACTACAGCCCCAGCCTATTCATTCATGTAGATAAATGCTATTGAAAGTGCTTGTCCGCCATACAAGGAGAAAGAGCCTTTACAATACATAGGGATAATACATCAACACAGGAATGCTTTAATAACACCTTTGGTAATCCTGTACAATGACAAAAAATATTACCAGTTATAACTTAACTGAATTTGTTATTTTTCATGTCCTTGTTGCTATGTCAGAAACACACTGCATATATAATTTGCCGATTCTGTATAACAGCTTGAAAAAGAAACGAAGATCTGTACCCCGATATTGTGTTTTACTAGTGCTAATACCTCCTTTCTTTATCTCATTTTGCATTGCAGCTTCTTTTTTTTAACCACTGTCTTTTTTAAAGCATTGAAGTTCTCACATACAATTATATTCTTCTCGCATTTACTTTGCAGCTTGGCCTATTTGTGTATTGAACGTGCATTTGAATAAAAGACGAACTATATATGCATGCATCTCCGAGGAAGCGAGGGTAGTTTCAATTCATCATGTCAGAAAGATTTGAGTAGTTTTTTTACGTATCTAATCTATTCAAATACCCCTGATGCCAGCTATTAATATCAGAATCGAATAGCCAAGCTTCCCTATATATTGGGGGAATTCTGAATAAAATAGACCGGTCCGGTTTTCTATTCATTATGCTATGTCAGGGAGCTAAGCCAGTTAGAGATGGGAAGAGAGAGAGAGAGGGGGAGAGAGAGAGAGAGAGAAGAGAGAGAGAGAGAGAGAGAGAGAGAGAGAGAGAGAGAGAGAGAGAGAGAGAGAGAGAGAGAGAGAGAGAGAGAGAGAGAGAGAGGAGAGAGAGTCGGGAGGGGGGGGGGGGGGCGGGGAGGGAGCCTGGGGAGGGAGCTCGGATCGAGTGAAATAGGGTCGGGGCGGGGTAATGTCTAAAAGACGGAAGAAAATATCGAAGTGGATATTATGCCGATGATGGTGGTGGTGACAATGATGATGATGGTGTTTATGATGAAATTAATGATCAGGACGATAATGATGAGGATGTATTATTTTTATAAAGAAGATGATGGTGATGTTGAGGAATTGTAAGATTGTAAGATTTTATTGACTCTATCGACCCCCTCTCGGGATATGAGAGTACAAACATATATACATATATTTTTTTAGGAATATGCATGACGACGATTAATATGATGATTGATGTTGTTGTTCAAGTTATTGTTACTGTTACTGATACCGGAGTGTTGGCTCAGTCAGTAGAGCGTCCGCCTCACAACCGGGAGGTCGTGGGTTCGAACCCCGGCCGCGTCATACCAAAAGACGTTAAAAGATGGGAGTTGTTGCTACCTTGTTTGGCGTTCAACAATAAGGGATAGAGCAACGTCGATCTGGCGCTGCTCAGTGGCTGCCGGGCTCACGATTAATTGGGCAAAAAGAATTTCCGTTTCGGTTTAATAAAATTTGGAGTGGACTATTAGGCTATTATTATTACTATTATTATTTATTATTATTATTATTTGCACTTTTTTGTTCTGTTTAAGATGTAATTGTTTATCAGTCTATTTTGTTTGTTATAGCCCTTAGAGACTTCGGTTGTAAGCGCTTTATAAGTAACGTTATTATTATTATTATCATCGTCATCAGCAGACTGTCTCTTACATTTTGTCTATTCAAAGAAAAGACAAAAAATGATTTGAAGACACCATACAATTTTGTGCTGCTAGATTTCGCAAGCTTACACGTGATTTCTGAATGCTGCGCATGCAACGTTGAAATTGTAAGTTTTTGTAATTAATGGCCAATATCATACGTCGGAATATACCATAGCCATAGTAATCTTATTTATAAAATTTATGTTTTAAATTTACTTGGTTTCTATTACGTGGAATATTGAACATTTATGAGCAAGGATATTTCAATGTAGTCCCACGTGGGGGTTAATGTGTACAGTCCACTGTGTAGTGTGTTAATCTCTTCAATCTTGAATCTACTTGTAGATATCATATCCAGACCTTTACCCGTAACTCGGCGTAGAGATACCCTACTGTAGCCCTACTAAAACATACACAAAATCTAAAAGGGCGCTGCACGTCCGAGGATAAAAAGTTCGTTCGCACAAATGAGGTTCGTCTTCGTAAACGCGGACGGATGTGTCTGCCAAAATTTAAGGGTCTGGATTTTCGCTGACGATTCTGATTTCTGATCCGTGCGTTGGTGATGCAATGAACAGGTTCCACGATGATTTTCTTAATGCATTTTACATTAAATTTGTACAGAGACTTTCACATGTTATGAGCGCTAGATCCTCGGAAGGACGGACAACCCATAAAAGTAAACTGTGGGTATTTTATTATCCTTTTTTCGCATTTCCAGCCCGCAGTTCAGGACAGGAACCCAAAACCTGCATAGCGCTGAAGAAAACAAATCATTATTATGCTATTTTAATCATTGTTTTCTCTGATCTTAACTGATTAGGATGGGCAGACGGTAAGAGAAAGATGGCGAGTACAATAGTGACGAGTTTGGCTTGGGTGAGGAGAGGAGTGGCCAAGGCTGTCCCAGACAAGGTAATCTTCTGAATTCTCTAGTCCCCATATGCTTAATACAGGGACAAGCCAGGTCCAGTAGGCAGTGAGGGGTTAACACTCAAAGACACTCTCTTTCTCTCTCTTTCTCTGTATCTTTTTACAGCTTGTGTACATGTCCTCCTCTCAAAGGAGTTGTTTATACAGAACACAATCATCAGTTTAAAGATAAAGTTGAGTTCTGGTCATGCGTTTGCATTGTAAAAGAAACAATGTGGAATTGATCAGGAAAAGTTTATTATGTAGCATATAAGTATTGGTGTGTACTGCTAGGTTCTGGAATGTATGGATTAGCAACTGATTTTCTAATGCTACAAAAACAATACTTGTTCATCTGTAGCAAATTCTTCAGATTTTCATGAACTACCTGAAAGGATTTAATAAAATCAGATGTGATATATCATACGGTAACCCACTTTTTCAAATTGTATTGAGTAACTGTTGCAAGAAAGGGACCACTCACAAATTTCCTGATGGTCTTGGAAGTACTGTCAAACCTGTCTATAGTGACAGCCCGAGGGAAACACAAAAAGTGGTCTTTGTAGACGGGTTCCTTTAGTGCATAATTCAATGAGAAACCATTTTCAAGGGAAACAACAAATGTGGCTTTTGTAGACAGGTGGTCACTAAAGCAGGTTAGACTGTATTTTCATTACAACAGTTTAACCTCTAAAATAACTTTGCATCCATTCAGATCGAGCTGTCCAAAGAGGAACTCAAGTTATTGATAGACGAAGGTCAAAGGTCATTGGGGGACCTCAATCTCAATGACGACGATGAGGAAGGGGATGAAGTGGTTGCCGAGGATACGGGAGATGGAGAGTGGGAGGATGTTGAGGGGACAGAAGGAGCAGAAGCAGGAGCTGGAGGAGCAGATGCGGCCGACAAATTCTACAAGATGGACGACTATGATGAAGAGCCAGATAGTAAGCATTTTTTTAACACTGCTTCTCTTTACCCGGGTTTATACATGTAGATTGCTACCCTGTAGGACTTTGATGTGTTGTAGTGGAGTTATTTAAATGCTTCAGATCCAAAGGTCATGGGTTTGATGTCCTTAGATTTTTGCAGTCAGACCGCAGCGCGCGCGTTAATGAGGCTGAAAGCTGATTTTTATTCAGCGATATCTGGCGATCACATAACATTTACGTCTGCTGAATTTCCATGCGCTTTTCAGTGAGATTTGTAGGGGTGTACATGTAGCTGCGTTTTTGGTCGTTAACTTCATTCAACATGGCAGCATGCAACGGAAAGTCACTCTCGAGATTTTCAGCATCAGTTTGATATGTAATTTGCCATATTTCGCAATTTGTAAACAATAATTTTCACAACTTTTATTGACGCTATTTTTGTAACATTTCAACTGCTGTTTTGACCCGGGAATTTCACTTTTGGTTCCTGACTTTGGGACAAAATAAATTTGTCCACTTTGAGATTCGTTCGAAAGATGAAAAGTCACTGATCAAAAATATGTCAAAACCTAATTGACGCAAAATCATGTTCTTTTTATAATCATAGTAATTAAGACCCTAAAAACCCGGAAATTACCAATTTGTTCTTTTTATGATAGCGCGAAATTGTGTGATTTCATACTCGTGCACGCTCGCCTTCTGAGCAATGGCAATGCATAACTGATTATTAAACTCAGGGAGCTCCGCCGCGCGATCGACTAGCCGAAAAAATTTAGAAAAATGATTAAAAAAGAAATACAGTAGATAAGAAACATCTACATGGCATGTGAAGTATTTGATCTCGGGTCCTTAGATTGTTGTCAAGACGGCTTACGCGCACGTGCATTACAGGCGCACGCCACAACGCATGGTTACCAAGATGTGTTATTCAGAATGTTAATAAACCAAAGCGAAACATATGTGACGTAGTTGACGTAGTTGACCAATCAGAACTCTCTATTATCACATCGGCAAAATTTACTACTTTTTTTAATTATTCATGAACATGAGCGTGATCTTTTTTGGTTCCTGACTTTGGGACAGCGTAAAATATAATAATTTTGATATCATTGTAACGAAAAATATTTATGCTTTATGCTGATTATAACATCTTCTTGACGCAAGAATGATTTCTATGTGAAAATTAGCCCTACTCTTTAGATAGATTTATCGTCGAAAAACCCCATTTTCAAGGCGAAATATCTATTTCCAAAATATATCTAACATGATTGTCATATAAGTATATAGAGAGTGCAACTTCTTATCTTTAAAATAAGACCCATTTCATGAGAAATGAACAATTATAAAGGCAAAAACTGCCGATCGGGAAGACCGTCTGCACTACTCATTACGTATGCGAGACACGTAAATTCTTGCATACGTGCTGAATAAAATAGAGGGTTTTCGCACCGGCTGCGGTCTGACTGGGGGGGCTTGAGAAGCCCCCCCCTCGACATTTTTCGCGATAATTTTTTAACGCAAGAAAATCTTGCACTGAAATTTTGTGACTTTTTTCTTTCGAGTCTTGCGCAACTTTTGAAAGAAATTTTTCGAAAATCGGACCTACCATTACAAAGTCACGTGTCCTTTTGTCTTCGCATGTCAGCCCGAAAATCGCTCATTTTTGTGATTTGTGTACAAAACATATGGAAATCTCATTTTTCAAATAAAGAGGTAAAACATTGGTTATTTGGTCTTGTTTAGATTTTAGCTGTTTATTTTGGGGTCAAAATAGTTGAATTATAGTTGGAAATGAAATAAAACAACAAAAACAATAAAATACATAAGTTAAAAAAACAAAGAAATACATAAGAAATTATCAAAACAATAGATAACATAAGGAATAACCCTGGTTTTTCAAATTTTTGTGCTGTATTATTATTCCAAATGGTCTAACAAATATATGTAGTGAGAAAGAATGCTTAAATATGAATAATGTCTGATTTATGGGCAAAAATGTGAATTTAATGACCTTATTTGCATAAATTACCATAAATATGCAAATGAGTGAATTTTTCAAAAAAATTGAAATTACCATAGTATTCTATACACTTCACTTGACATGTATGCAAATTTTCGCGGCGATTGGGCGTTTCACGGCCGAGATCATAGGGGGGGGGGGGCCTGAGAAGCCCCCCCCCCCCCCCCCCCCCCCCACCGGGCTATGCAGTTTCAAAATAGCCCGGGCTAAATAGGGTTAATACTTAAGCACATTTTCTTCCATGCCACTTGCATTCTTGATTGTTTTTTTGTTTTTTCCTAGTTCCTGATGTCCATGGTTCTGGGTTTCACAACTTTGCTGTCTACGCTGATAACAATGATGATCCTTACATCACACTCAAAGAAGATAGAGTAAGTCCTTTCTCTGCATCTTACGCTTTTCCTATTTAAGTGGCTGGATTGCCATCAAGTGACATTCAGTAATTTGATAATGCAGAGTGGTATTAAAGCCATACTGTACTGGGGGGGGGGGGGGTGTCTGATTTAAAGGGATAGTTAAGTTCTTGTTTAAGACCTCAAATGCCTTCAAAGTGCATGGTTATTGCTCTTATTCTTATTCTTAATCATGACATTTCTAGTGCCCTTTTAGAACCTAAAATTGCTAGGAAGGTAACTTTAGACCCCAAAATGTGTGAAATATAGATTAAATACGATCATACTAACTCAGCTCAGCTCCACTTTCCAAAAAATATGGTGACCGTTAATTAATAATAACAATACACGGACAGGCTGGCTGTACGTATTATAACCATCTTCAAAAAACCAACATTAGCATTTGCTGGAATTAAACATATCAAATGAAGATAATTTTGTCATTTTAATTGTATGTTCTCTCAAATTTGACACTCAGTTTTTCATTATCTCACAAAAAAATATATTTTGCGTAATTCTGCAACAAAATTCAACTATCCCTTTAAATTTCCTTTTTTTTTCTTGATCTTGCTTTAAATAGGAGGAAAGGGATGAGAGAGAAGATACAAATATCAAGCCCACTGACAACATGATCGTGATTGGAAAGGCCTTGGAAGACTTCACAAACCTAGAGGTTTACGGTAAGAATGAATCGTGATTTGGAAAAGATGGCTTGTATTGCGGATTTGTCATCCCTTTTCTGGCCATCTCCCTTTATTTTATAGACCACAAGAAAACTAAAAAATGGGGTGACTTTTGTGACGAGATCTGTGATCTCCAAATGTGTTGGGTGGACAGAAAAAGAAACTGTAGGGATGATATGCTCAAGTAGTCATTGAGGCTCTTATGAACTTCCTTTAATTGCTGAAGATTTAGATTATGTATAAAACAAACCTCCTTAGAAAAGCTTTAAAAAGTTGATTCACCATCTATGTTTTCATTGTAAGTATATTACACTTCAAATAGTAAATAAATGAATTGTCAAAGAACCTCCTTTGTTCTGTCAATTCAGAGGTCATTTTGAAATCATACATTTAAATGTTAACCTGTGAAAAGCAAACACCATGAATGTTTTTGTGCCTTCCTTGACATTTAGGAAAAATGTTTTTGGTAGACCAATAACAGTTATTTGATTTCTTTTCCGCAGTTTACAATGAAGAAGAGGGTGTCCTGTATGTACATCATGACGTTCTGCTTTCATCATTTCCTCTGGCTTTAGAGTGGTTGAACTTTGACCCCTTAGAACAACAACCAGGTAAGAACAGGTGGGCATTTCACAAAGATTTTAAGTTGAACTTATCTCTAAGTTGGACTTAAAAATTATGGAAAGCCGTTAGCATCTTTGAAAATATTTTGTAAAATTTATTTTGAAAGGCATAAAATGTTGATTCAAATCATTCATATTTTCTATCATCAAGGAGGTTTTTATGTTATGGATGTGGAATTTATAAAAAGTCTAAAATACTTGAATTTCTGCTTTTGAATATATTTCATTTTAAGGCTCCAGTGGCTGTCCATAATTTTGAAGTCCAACTTAGTGTCAAGTTCTACTTAAGATCTTTGTGAAACACCCCCCTGGAAGGGAGGGCAGTCTCAAAGGGTTATTTACATCTTCATTACATTTCATCTTTATTCACAAAACCATGGTAAAAACACATTACATGTATAAATATATCATAATGGGTAATTCCATAAATTAGGGACACACTTTGAGATATTTTTTGTGTCCCTGTTACATAAGGAACCCACACGTATTTGTGGCTCTGAGTAAAGACTTGAATAATGGAGTGAGATTATAAAGTGATTTCCAAGCATGATATTGCATCCTCATACCTAAAATCACTTAACAATCTCACTCCACTATTTAAGTCTTTACTTAGAGCCACAAATACATGTGGGTTCCTTAGGTTAGTGGGACACCAAAAATGTCACAAAGTGGGTCACTAATTTATGGAATTACCCATAAATCTGATGGTTAAAGAAAGTACAAAGTTGCATAAAATAATATAGTAATACATAAGAGTATTTGGGGTAAATGAAATTGTGTTGTACAATTGAAATTGTTTGCGAGGCACACCTAAAAAGGCCAAGAGGTCTGTGGGCAAGGTGGCATTTAATTTACGAGATATAAAGTTTGTAATTCAGTCGATGATCGTGTCTCATCCCAAACAGAAGGTTTATCGTGGGAAAGGTGAACATGAAATGGAAGCTTTTCTCATACTTTTTGTTATTTCCATGTGGAACAAAGATCTGTAAGGTAATGTCTCCCACAAAAGTGTAGGCTCTTGGAAATGTGTAAAACTTTTTGATGTACCCATTTTTTATGCCACATATTAGTGGGTGTAGTCCCATAAACCTGTCTCTGTGTCCAGCGCTTTTAACTTTGTGTGATTCTTAGCAATACTGAGTCAACTTGTTCTCGTTCCGACTATTCCAACCCCTTACCCCCCCCCCCCCCCCAAGACTTTCATTTGCACTCTGTAATCAATTCTCTGACAATAATGCCTAGTTTTGTATTGTCAAAGTGAATTCACACCACCAGTACTCAGCTTTATCTTTAAATACCCACAAGTAGACATAGGTCGTGAATGTATCAAAAAGCAAACAGGTGGAAAAAAGAAAGAACCCCCCCCCCCCCCCCCCCCCCCCCCACAAACAAAAAAAATGTAGTACTGCTAAATGATAATAAGTGCTGTTGGAAATATTTCAAAGTTGGATGAAAAATGTAGTAATGAGCGGCTGTGATTGGTGTATTTTGCAGGTAACCTTATCGCCGTGGGTAACATGACACCTGTAATCGATGTATGGGATCTTGATATCATGAACGCAGTAGAGCCAGCCTTCAGCCTGGGCAAGAAGTTCAAGAAGAAATCAAAACAGGTCGGTTAATAATAATTGTAAAACCAATAGATTTAAGAATAACCCTAATCCCTATTGTGTTGGCATCTTAAAATTATTTATTATTCATAAAAGTAACTTTCATGCATGTTGTATATGTTTTATGATATTTAATGATGCTGCCTATTATATGTATGAATGTATCCAGTGTATAACAGTTTTTTCAACACTACATTCTATAGGGAAAAATGAGTATGGTAAAACCGGTGACTCAAAGATTTATACTCTTGAGGTCCTTCATGATCAATTTGTAGCCCAATTTTTTTTAGGGCTTCAATTTTACACCATATCATAGACACTGATAACACGTAGGGCCGTGCATTTCGGATTTAACGTTGTTAAACGATGCCTTTTAAATGTTTATTTACATTAACGCTGTCCTAGATCTGCCCTGGAATCCTCTGCCCTTGGTCTCATTTTTTTGCTTGTATCCATACCAACTTGGTATCAGGGTGGACTTCTTCTTAGAACATAAATTTTAAACGACATCAATTTTTACGGCAGAAAACTTTGTGAATCGCAAAACTTCCTTCCTTGTGTCAGTTGTGATTAAATTGTTCTGCAGCATGATCATTTTGTGAGTCTATATCTGTACTATTCACAAAAATATTAAATGATGAATGTTTGTTGTCCAAATGAACAGAAGCCTACTGCACCCTCACTCAATGGTCACATTGACGCTGTCCTAGATCTGTCCTGGAACCGTCATCTTGGTCACGGCTTGGCCAGCGCTTCAGCCGATGAATCCATCTTACTCTGGGATATGAGTCAGAGCAAGGCTATATCACTACTACAAAGACATACAGATAAGGTAAGCATCCTAGGCACTTCTCCATCTCATGGAGCGTTGCAAGAAGGTTGCAATTGATTGCAAGTTGCAAAATTTGCAACTCAACTTTCATGCAAAGCCCCAAAAGTCTCCTAAATTTCCTAGGATTTTGCTAGGATTAAAGTTTTAACAATTAAATTAAGTTAAGTAGATGTAGCTTTTTACTCCCCCCCCCCCCCCTCTCTCTCTCTCTTACTACTGGGGCGTTTAAAAAAAGTTGAGTTGCGATCAATTGCAAGGCTTACGCTTGATTTTGGGGATTTGTAACGCCCCATTAAAGGTCTTACAAGCGACCACATTTATGGGCTCTCCCGTTTTCTGTTAATTTAAGTGTCTTTTTGTGATCTTCATGGTTTTTATTTACACCAGCGGAAAAAGTTTATACCAGGAACCTACTGGAAATTTTCTGCGTTGTTTCATGCATCAATTATAAATTTTTTATTGAAAAAGTGATGAGATACTTTGGAGGAAAGTGCTTTATAAGCACATTTTAAATATATTATCATTGTTATTAATCATAAAATCAGTGTTCCAAAGACATAAAGATAAGGTATTTATTCTCTTTATTCATTCAAAATGATATTCAGAAGAAAAAAATTCTTGCTTCGCAACATTATGTTGCATCATGCATAATTAACAATCAAATTGATAAAAAATTACAAGAAACATACAGTACATTCACGTTCTAAAGAATAAATTACATGAGTGATGCTTGAAAATAAAATTGATAATATACCATGAAGTAAAAGTGAAAGATAAATACACTGCAAGGAAACTACGGTATATGCAGTCCTTATTAAACGTAATTACATAAGGTAAAAAAAGGCAAAATTTGAGTCTAATCATTTATTGTCCTTTCTTGTAGGTTCAAACTCTGGAGTGGCATCCCTTTGAAATGCAGTCATTACTCAGCGGCGGGTTTGATGGGTGAGTAAAACTAGCAGTGAAAAAGGCTAAACAGCCAAGATTAAGTTTTCTCCAAGAATATAAGGAGAAAAGTGCTTAGTTGTAGAGGATCAATATTTTGTCTTGTGGATATATTTCTTCCTTCTGCTGCAACTAATGGACTAATGAGGAATTAACACGGGTGTTGTTAGGATCAAGCCTCTTTTGTTGACTTCAGAGAAGCCAATTACTGTTCTTCATCTGACAATCTAACAGAGGCAGATCAAAAATCTCTTCATTAGACTGAATAGGGGTTCTTAGTCCTCTATTCAGGTCGAAGTTTTGAGACATGAAAAAAAAAAACCAAAAAACGAGTGAAATGGAATCAATTATTTCCTGTGCGAGAGTGGCCTTTAAGAGGAAGTTCACCCTGATATTAAGTTGGTTTAATAGGAGCAGAAAAATAAGAGGAACAGATATAAAGTGAAAGTTGGAAACACAACAAATTGGCAGCTCTGACATATCTTGCGAGGTTCCCTCCCATTTGCTCTGTACTAAAAAATAAAAAAATACAAATAAATTTCTTTTTCCCTAAAGAAATATTCAATCATACATGCACCCTGAATATAATTATTGCAAATATGTTTCTATACAACCCATGTATGAAACAATTCTTATTCTGTCATCAATGACAGAGAAAAATGAGAGTCTATGACATTTCTGTACAGAGCACATTGGAGAGGACCTAGCAAGATATGTGACAGTATTGCCAATTTGTGTTTCACGAAATACTGATAATTGATATTTACATTAATCTGACATGAAATTTAACATAAGGAGAACCAGAAGTAAAGTTTATCTTCAATGCTTAATTTTATTTTGCTTGTTCACCCTGTACAGGAGAATCAATGTTTATGATTGCCGAAGCGAAGACAGCTTCAAGACGTGGTCGGTAGAGGGAGAGATAGAGAGGGTCCTGTGGAACCACTTCCAACCTTATAACTTCCTGGTAAGTGTTTGCGATCGTCATTAGAAGATGTCCTACCAAACTTACAGTTAACATTCAGATATGGGCCCCTAAAGAGTTGCGATTGATTTGGATCAATCACAAGTTTGCAGTCTCCTATCCTTATGTACATAGTACATAGCTGCGATGAGTATCGACTCTTTATAAGACGGACCCTGATGATGGAATATAATGATATTGGAGCACGTAGAGGTGTCGTGGTCGAGTGGATATGTCACCAGACTGTCGATCACAAGGTCCGCGGTTCGAGTCCCGCCGCGGCACTAATGTCCTTTGGCAAGACATTGATCTACATTTGCCACACTCAACCCAGGTGTTGTAAATGGGTACCTGGCAGGAATTAATTCCTTGAAATGCTAGAGCGCCGTATGAAGCCAGGAGTGTCACGTATGACAGACATGAGTGCTATTCAAGAACCCACTATTATTTGATTTGATTTGATTTGATTTATTTATTTCTGTTTGATTTTCTTTTTCTTTTGCATTTTTACAAATATATAACAAACAAATATTGCAAATTTACACATGACAAAAGAATAAATGTAGAATAAGGTAAGGCTGGGTGTAACTAATCGAGAACATCAAACAGGAGGGTTGACAAAATAAGCAAAGCTTGATAGTATGACTACCCTCAAAGGATACATAATAATACAAATATGGAGGAACAAAATATTGGTAAAAAGGGGGAAAAGACAGAAAAAAGAAGAGAAAAGAAAGAGGGGATGCACATCAATATTCACAGACTTATGTGGAAGTTGGATTATTATTATTATTATTATTATTATTATTAGACTACGGCACCTCTACATATAAATATGCTTGCTTTTTTTCTCTCAGTGTCCTAGAGCCATTCGGCAATGTTCAACCAATACATTTTGTTATCAATTCACAGGCAAGTACAGACAAGGGCTACGTGTATAACTACGACATCCGTACAGACAAGCCTCTATTCACATTGCATGCTCATGAGAAGGCTACGACAGGGATCTCACTGAGCCACACAGTCCCTGACCTCCTAGTGACCTGCTCGGCGGACAACTCCTATAAAGTCTGGGATACACAGGTAGGTTCTTGATGAAATTGCTTTCTTACACTCTCTTTCTCTCTTTCTTTCTCTCTCTCTCTCTTTCTCTCTATATCTGTCTATGGCTTTTTATTTCTCTGTCTCTTTCTCCCTGTCTATGTCTCTCTCTCTCTCGCTTTTTCTTTGTCTTTCTTTGTCTTTCTCTCTGTATCTGTTTCTGTCTCTCCCTTTTTGTCTCTTGCTTTCTCTGTCTCTGTCTCCGTCTGTCTCTCTGTCTCTGTCTCTGTCTGTCTCTCTTTCTCTGTCTCTTTTTCTGCTTTTGTCTCCCTCATATGTACCTGGTCTCCGAGTGAGACACAAATGTACAGCAAATCAAAAATGTCCTTGCAATATCCTCTCATATCTAGTGCAAGACTTTGTGTTGTGCATGTACGCTATACCAGGTCCGGTCTTACAAAGAGTTGCGATTGATCCGAATCAATCACAAGTCCTCCAATCGATTCCAAGTTTACGGTCTCCTATATATCTCTTATGTACATAATTGCGATTGATATCAATTGTAAATAACTTGCAATTCATATCAACTATATATCATTCGTCATTCTCCCTCTTTCTTTCTCCATAGGATAACAAACCAGGTCTAGTGGTCTCCAAGGATCCCAAGATGGGCATCATAAACAGCGCCATCTTCTGTCCTGAATCTCCATTCCTCGTCGCTATGGGAGGTGAGAGGGACAGCCTGCGTCTCATGGACCTATCCGATCATGCACCTGGTGAGTTCATGGTCATGTCACATTTTTCTTGTTTAACCCTTACTGTACTGGGCTATTTTGAGCACCCCGTGACTGAGGGGGGGGGGGGGGGGGCCTGGGAGGCCCCCCCCCCCCCCCCCCCTATGATCTCGGCCGTCGAAAGTCCGATGAACACGAAAATTTGCATGTTTGTAGATATTTATGTAATATTATTGTATGTATTGGGTTTTTACAGACGTGTATCAATCAGATATGATTATTTACGTCTGGGACCGACCTTTAAACGTCACCATCCGAAAGACGTGACTCAGTTTCGAACCTGCGTCCTCGGCTGAATCAGTTTGTAACTTCCACTTTTTAGCTGGATTACAGGCGCACGCCACAACGCCTAGTTGTAAGGAACAAGATGGTATAATTAGTTTTTTCCTAATATGCAAGTTTTTGTCGTTATAGCCTAATTAATTATGCAAAATGCTAATTTTATGCACTTTACAGAAAACTACAAATTTGTCTGTAGACTTGTGAAGAATGTTGAAAATGTATTGAATAAATGTTTCCTTCATCTGAAATTCACGAGGTTACATGATTTTTATGATATTTGAAAATGCATAAGTTAATTTGCATAAATTATGAATATGCATTCATGAATATCAAATCTGGAAATATACAGTGAACTAGAATCATGACAAAAATTGTCAGACTCCACTTTTTTAATGTTAATTGAAACTCATTATTCATATGAAACTTCTTTTCTAACACAAAATATTTATTTTGATGTAATTAATAATGATAGTTATGCAAATTTGATGAGTTTTTCAAATATTTTTTTTCTTTTGTATTTTATTGTTTTTATTTCTTATTATATCTATTGTTTTATTTCTAATGTATTCTTTTGTTCTGAAATACATCAAGTTACTTTGAGAAACATATACAAGCAATTTGATATCAATTCATATCTCCCAAATACATCTAAACCTGTATTGTACATGAATATAGGCAATTATAGCATATTTTTGATGACATGCGCATACTAATTGTTATGTAACACCTCACAGGTATATACAATTTCGACGAAAATGGTATCAAAATGTGCGTAAGACTTGAGGGAAAAAAGTTATGAAACGACAATTCAAAATTCCAAGCGGTTGCGGCGCAATCTTCGAAAATGTCGAGGAGGCAGTGCAGTAAGGGTTAAAGCCCAATTGTACTACTTGTAGTTACTTGCTCTCTCTTTATAGATAACAATGCCTAATCGGTGACAATTGGCCCCCAATGATCCCCTTTTTCTTATGCTAATTGAGAGCCGATTTGATGAGATAACCACCTGTCAGTGACCACGCAGGGAGGTCTAATCCCTCCTGGCCTAACTAGTGCAGATAAACTTGAATAAAGAATAGCTTATACAAAAATTCGTTTTTGAGCTCATAATTGACTGAAAAGATTATATTGTTTCATTGATGAGTACCAATGCCAGGAATGGTTAGAGGGACTAGTGGCATGAACAGCCCGCCATAGTTCAAGTCCAACTCAAGTCGATCTTAGTCTTTGGGAAACACCTCCCAGGATATATTGTTTTGTACATCTGATTTTAGCGAGGTGTGATATGTAGTAGAGATCATGTTGTCAGACAATTCTGAGGTTTATCACTTAACGTTCTCTCACTTTTGTTTCCTTTGTCCAGTTGTGAAGCGATTTGCAGACAGGCAAAGAGAACCGGTCCTCCCCCACCCATCAGAGATAGCATACAGAGGTCAAAGTTCACAAGAGGGTGAAGCTGATGCAGCCACTGCCGAGGCGGATACCATGGAGACGGCATCAGAGACATCATCGACAACGTCGTCGAAAAGCGGAAAGAGGAAAAGGAAGAAGAAGAAGAAAACCCAAACCCAAGAGCCCAGCGACTGAAGTTCCGACAGGGTTGGGACTCGAGATAAATTGTGGACTATTTATGAAAGAAAGGTCATCTATACTCAATGTTAAAGACACTGAAAACTGTTGGAGTGGCTACCTCTGTAGAAAGGGCATGAAGAAAAGAAGAAGAGTAATACTCAAGAATCCTGTGGCTGGAGTCATTATAGACTATTTATGAGGCAAATGTCTTCTGTACTATGTTCAAACTGTCGTTATCGTCACCTCTTATAATGGTCAACTGGCTATAAAGTAGGCACCTACATATATATTATCTCCCTTGAAGAAGAAGAAATGTATGAGGTAGAACTTCTCTTGAAAGGCCACTTCCCTGTTGTGGTCACTTTTAAAGTTGCTCAAGCATGGGTATATAGAGGGCAGCACTCGGACATACAGACGCGAGCGTAGTACCCACTGGCTCAGTATTACGTAGTGATCGCCAAGTTGCCTACTTCACGAACGACTATATACCCACTCATGAACATCTTTAATGTTTCCCTTGAGGAGGAACTGTGTTTTAGAACCTGTATAGAAAGGACACCTATCTCCATTGGGCTCGTAAACTGTTCCCCTATAGGTGGCCTTCATTATACAGGTCTCATCCCACTATGAGAACAGGAACAGTTTTCTCTCATCTGTTTTCATGTTCATGTTCCTATCTGCATGATTTCATCCTGTTTTCATTTTATCGAGGGGAATTTTTTTAAATTCAAAATCATAATTTAAAACAATATTTTAAATTTTGGTGAAAATCATGTTTTATAATTATTTTTAAAATTTTATAATGAGCAATTACCCCTGCCTATCATAATTATATGCTACTTTTATTCTATTCTAGGTTTTGATACTTAGATTTTACATACTTAATTATCTACATTTTTACAAATCATAATTTTATTTGTGAAATATCATGCATTTTTATTGATGTCGTAATGTTGGAAACTGATCACCACAAAGTCAAGAATTGATCGATGCAATGTAATATTGTATGTTTAGCAAGAAGAGGGACTTGACAAGAAAATAGGTTAGTGAAATAGTGGTAGAAAATTCTCAACCCTTTTCCCCTAGGCCCCTTCCTCCCCCCCCCCCCCCCAAAAAAAAGTAATATGTATTCATTTATTTGAATATGTGAATTAAATGTTTACACACGATGCCATGTGACTGATTTCTTGTATATTGAACAAGCGTGAGATTTCATGTGAATTAAAAAGTTGTTTGTGCTCCTTATACAGTCAAACCTGCTTTAATGACCACCTGTCTACAAAGAGCATATTTTTGTTTCCCTTGAAAATGGTTTCTCATTGAAACATGTACTAAAGGAACCTGTCTACAAAGACCACTTTTTGTATTTCCCTTGGGCGGTCGCTATAGACAGGTTTGACTGTACTATGAAAGTACTAACGCATGAATGATATTTTGACCATGTGACAGCTAGAGAGGATATTAAAGAAACTCAAATATATTCAAACACGTATTATCATGATGTGCTGCTTTGGAGATATTTGTACTACGAGAAAAGTGAAGACTAAAAGGGAGAAGAGAAAAAGATATATATGTGACTGAGAAAGGCGATAAGACACAGAGAGATAAAAGAAATAGAGGTGGAAATATGGGCATTGCCGAGAGAGAGAGAGAGAGAGAGAGAGAGGGGGGGGGGGGGGGGGGGGGGGGAGAGAATTAGGAAGAATGGGAGAGAAGAGGGAGAAAATGAGAGAGAGAGGATGATTGAGAGGGAGAAACCTGCCAAGTGCAGAGCTTTATTGTGTATGGCCCTGTGACAACTCGGACGTTCTTTTGTAATCTTAAGACTACTGAGGGTAGGCAAGGAAGGGAGAGCACACATAAAGGCAAACACCATAAAAAAAGGAAGAAAGATATAGAGAACAAATGATATACAATCGACGAAGAAATGGATGAATTAGAACTAGAATGAGCAGATATTTTGTGTTAGTACTGTTTGGAGAAAACGGAGGGGAAAAAGAGTAATTTAAAAAATGCACTACCAGATCCCAGTCTAAATAAATTTACAAAGTAACGTAGATCACCCTAGGTAACTGCGATAGCAACAAACAGGGTCTCTTTGACATCTTGGATACAGTTGCAAGAAAATAAGGGGAGTGATAATGGAAAAGTTTGAGCAGAGAAAAATATAGAATGAGAAAAGATAAGGGATAGAAAAGAAAAAGATAGGCAGACATGTACAGTTGAAGATTTAAAAAAGAAAGAATGATAAAGTAAGGGAGCGTGTAGCGAGGGAAATATAGGAGGGGAGAGAGAGAGGGGGAGGGAGAGATATAGATAGATAGAGAGGGAGGGAGAGGGAGAAAGAGGGAGAGAGAGAGCAAACAAATTAGCCCTCACTTGCGAAAGACCTGCCCTGCAGGTTTTAGACAAAGCAAATATACATGAATACCACAAAACCATAAAAGTTCTTCCAACTCTATACACTGACAAAGGAACAAATCTCTTCAATCGCATATAAGACGTGTGTTAAGAAGAAATGCGATTATTGCTTGGTAACTGGTGACCATAATTATGTAGCACGGACTAATTTTTAGTGTCTATTTTAGGGGGCCAATTAGGAGGACAGGGGCACACACATTGCCCCATGTGGAGTAGGGGAGGACTCAATCGATATAACTGCAAGCGATCCAGGACGTTTCTTTATTTTGTCTTCTTTCTCATTCAATAGTTTGAATAGGATGGGCATGTTATCGTTGAACCAGCACTAATCACGATCTTTATTTAGTCGGACGCTGTTACATGCATTATCAATTGTATGGAAAGCGTTATTAATTGCTTAAAGCACACAAGATGTCTTAGACTAATTAGAGAAACACGTGGAAAGAAGTCCTGGCAGCTTTTCATATCAGTTCTGACCAACGCACTGGGGATCTCTCTCTCTTGGGGGATCAACTAAATAAATCAGCAGTTTTCTTTATCAAGGTAAGACTAATTAAGACGGTTTTTTTAATCAAAATAATGCCTTTAAGAACGTTTTGTATTTTGTGCTCGTATAAAATATGTTCAGTTTGCTATATAGAAAACTAATTTAAATACTTTACTTTCCTCCTCCATAAAAATATATATATGAATTAAATCGAGAAAGCTTTTTTTTCCATCATTAATCTACTTCCCTTCTTCGTAAAAAATAATTGCAAAATATCATTTTGAATACGATAAAGGTAGCTATAACAAAAAATCCTTATGTTTACTACTTTAATAGACGTATGAGGAATAACAGTAATCATGCATGAATTGAATTCATTTGGTGTATACTAACATGATTAAGACAAGACCAAGACTAATAATGATACCTTCATGTTGCAACGTTAAAATGTTTAAGTGTAATATCGTCTGTTTGGAGCCAGAAGGGCGTTAACTTGTATACCTCATAACAGAGTTAACCCATTGCTTACTGGAACCTGGTGGTCTCTGTGTTAAGTCTATGGGCATTGGATAATTCAGTAGTCAACGGGTTAATGCCTTTCTGGCTTTGAACAGACGTATTGTGTAACTAGGGGTGTACGATACTTGCGCCTGCGACAATCACTCCATAGAAATTCCCTATATATATTCACCTTGGACCCAACACTAAATCAATTCGCAATCCTAACCCCAAACTTAATTTCAAAGTTCAAACAGAATGATTGCCATTCTAACCCACATTAAGTCTCTGCCTTAAGAATAATTCAAACTGTTGCTCTGTCGGGATCTACCTCTGACAAGAGATGTCACCAATGGCTATTTTTGACTTCTAAACTACCCTAAGCACGGTCTAAAGTCTTCCGAAAATCATCTCAAGGGCGCTTTCAGTACCATATTGAATGGCTTTTAACTTCATATTTCAAATGGGGCGTCAACATCAGTAGAAGAAACACAATTTAGATACATAATGGAATATACCTAATCGAACAAAACAAGGATACCTATTCTCATAAACTTTCATTTCTACTATACTTGCTTTTTCAGCGATATCACGATATACATTTTTTTTTCTACCAGAGAGGTTCTTAAAATACATCCTGACACAAAAATTTTCAAGGATGACTTCTCAGTTAACAAATCTATGGATAAATCCGAGTATTCAAGCAACTTTGTTACAGTATTGTGTTAGTACATCTTAATTACTAATTTATGAAAATCTTCGCCAGATATAAAGAAACTGCGGGTGAAAATGAATTTCTCTTCTTCCTAAGATACCAGGATAATGTATGGTGAAGTTCTATCAAAGAGGCAGTTTGCATTTGAAGTAATCGATTTGGCAAGGTATACAGAAACAAAGTGTTTTTTTTTATTTTCAACGAATTCATATTCTTTATGACGTCTGTAGATGGATTCCTTCTTTGTTTATACGTGAATAATTCATTGCTTCGAGCGAACAAACACGTATACTGCTTTCAATAATCAGTTTCCAAATATAAATGCTTTAATTATTCTCTGTAAATGCCACTAATAGCAGGGAAGCAATACCAACAAGTTGAAACGTATGAAATAAATAAAAAAAAGCGGGATAACTTTAATCGATTTCATCTTGTATCATTTGATTTATTCAGTCCTACCGCGGACAAGGGCTCTCGGAGTCTTCGCTCACTCTTTATTGTTTATTAAAGGTTTCGAGAAGTCTACATCCAATGGCTCGTTATAGCGAGTGAAAGGGATAAAAGGGATATATAGCAGAATTAAAGAACTGACGCTCAACGCTTTTTCTGTTTAAATCCCTTCGGGGGAATTAATCTTTTGATTTCTCAAGAGCGCGACCACGCCAAGTCCCTCACATCTCGCTTTGCGATCCGCCTTTTGTATTTTTTTAATAAAAAGAAACGTATAATTAGATGTAAAAAAAGAAAATCGAATATCCGTGTGTGTAAAAGGGAAAGTATTATCTCCGTGGGGGGAGGGGGCGTCAAACACGTTAGTTTTGCGTATTTGTCGAGTACATCTTTGATGGTGCCGCCAATAAATAAATAAACCAATAACAACAGCAAATAACAACAAAATAAAGCATCAACGTTATAATTAATCGTGATCCCCGGCCTAACCCTCTAGTGACTCTTACATTATTTTCTTGGTCTTTTCTAACTTTCACTTGCTTTTCGATTCATATGGATCAATCTTTCGACTTTTTGTAATACTGCCTGTTTCTACATTATGTACCTATTTTCATCTGTGTCCTGTCCTGGTAATTTCTCTTGTTAAACACTTTATAAATAATTATAAATAATTACTTTTACCAACAAATTCTATTCTTGATCTTTATTAAAGGCTTACGCCTGCTTTGTGCTTCAAATGGAGGACACGTCAGTCTTTCGACTTTTTTTGTTATATAATTATGTGTTTCTACTTTCTACATTATATACCTATTTTCAATTGCCCTTGTACCCTGTCCTCATAATTTCTCTTTCAATTAAAAAACCCACACAGCTTCATAATTTATTGGTGATTATAAATAATTACTTTTACCAACAAATTCTATTCTTGATCTTTTTTAACTTACGCCTGCTTTTCTCTTCAAATGGAGGACTCATGGAGAACACAATTTCTCTTGTTAAACAACCAACACAGCTTCATACTTTATTGGTGATTATAAATAATTACTTTTACCAACAAATTCTATTCTTGATCTTTTTTAACTTACGCCTGCTTTTCTCTTCAAATGGAGGACTCATGGAGAACACAATTTCTCTTGTTAAACAACCAACACAGCTTCATACTTTATTGTTAATCATAAATAATTACTTTTACCAATAAATTATATTCTTGATGTTGTTTAATTTACGCCTGTTTTTCTCTTCACAGGGAGGACACATCAATCTTTCGACTTTCTTGTTATACTGTATTTTTACATTATTTACCTATTTTCAATTACCCTCGTATCCTGTCCCCGTAATTTCTCTTGTTAAACACTCAACAACAAAAAAGAAAAAAAAAGCTTCATACTTTATTGGTGATTATAAATAATTACTTTTACCAACAAATTCTATTCTTGATCTTTTTGTTTAACTTACGCCTGTTTTTTTCTTCAAATCTTTCGATTTTTTTGTTATACAGCGTTTCTAGATTATGTACCTATTTTCATTTGCCCTTGTACCCTGTCCTCGTAATTTCTCTTGTTAAACATTTAAAAACACACACAGCTTCATACTTTATTGGTCATTATAAATAATTTCTTGTACTTCAGTTTTAAGAGAGGCTTACCACTGCAAGCCATGTTTTCTAATAAGCTCCTCATGTTCACATGTCACATAGAAATAGTCTTACTTTGAATAATGTTCAAGCTGTAAACTTTATTCAATTGTCAATAACGCAACTAAACTTGCAAAGTTTATAATATTGTTTACAGCTGTAATATCCTCCCTGTTGTATGTTGTTTGATCTCTGTATGTTTGTTCTCTGTATACATTCGAGCATGTGGGAAAAAAACTCTATAACCGCCACTGGTGATCATAATCAGGAGTGTCATGGTCGAGTGGTTTAAGGCGCTTGACTGGAGATGCGAAGGTCGACGGTTCGAATCCCGACACGAAACTAATATCCTTTGGCAAGATATTTACCTGCACTTGCTTCTCTCCACCCAGGTGTTTATGGGTACTCGGTATAGGATGCGGAAGTTCATGTGATTGGATGAGCAAGTGTGCGCTTGCCAAATGAACCTGAATCCGATGACCGGGCTAATAATATATCTGTAAAGCGCTTAGCCACATCGTTGTATCGATGTATTGGGCGCTATATAAAAGCGAAATATTATTATTATCATTATCATAATCATCATTTAATGGGAACCTTGTCGTTTGGTGTTAATATTTTGCAGGCACAAACCATTAACAAGGTCTGCAAAATGAGACTAGAATAGGCTATGTGACACAACTAGAAACCACGGAGTAGTAGGTCAATGGAGAAACAGACAGATCTAGGCTCTGCTCAAAGCTTCAGGAATCGTTTCTGTACTTGCAGACTACGGTGTTATTACCATTATGACAGGATTAAACATTATAATATTATTGTCTTGTGCTGATGGGGAAAGCATAATCGTGATAATAGGAAACGAAATGACAAATTATTTTAGGCTCGTCATTTTTGCGTGTCAGCTTAAACCCTTCTCTTTTTCTTTTCATAGTATCTACAAATTTGAAGTATTGACGAAAGAGGTATTTGATTAAAGTATTTCTCTAACATTTTGTTTATCCTCTGTAATGATACTTCATTGCTTTCATCGTTGCTAAAAAATCTCTTAGGGAAGCATAGGGTCGTGCTCCCTTTTTCTCATGTAGTTTCTTGTTCTCTGTCTTTCTTTATTTTGTCTCTCTCTCTCTCTCTCTCTCTCTCTCTCTCTCTCTCCTATTCCTCCCACTCTGTCTTTTGTAAAGTATTTTCTCTCTCTATCAATCTATCTCCCTATCAACCTCTCTCCCTTCCAATCTTTTCCCCCTCTATACCTAATTATATTCCTTTCCTTCTGTCCATCTATATCTCCCTCTATCCCATTCGGTCTATCTATCTTTCTCTATGTCCCCTCCCTTCTCTCTCTATCAATCTCGTTATCTATCTCTCTTTCTTTTTCTTCTCTTTCTACCTCCCAATCAGACTTTCTCTTCCCCCCCTCTCAGGCATAATATGGATTAAAATAAAACTAAAATTCCTTGACACGACACCAGTCGCACGACACTTTCTACTTCCCTTTCAAAACACGGAAACGAACTTAACGAAGATCATTCAATTTCACAAAAAGCGTTATCCAAGATGTCAGATTGGTTGTCAAAAAGATCAAAATTGTATTCATTCTATTTTGATCAACACAAATATGCATTCGAGAAAGGTAATGGGAAAAAGAAAAACGCTGATTATGAATAAAAAAGCAAGTCATGGTCTGTAAGCCAAATGTCACAATATTTGATTTTGCTATATCAGATGTATACAAAACAATATTGAAAAAGAGTATTTTCAAA